GTGTCTATCTTGTAATGTATAGTAATATGTGTATATCATTTGCCTTTCATCTCCTCACATCCTCTGCACTCTCTTTGTAAGCCAGACCCACATTCCCACAGACTTACAAGCATATTTGTCAGGCTGTCACACTTGTACCACAAATTCAGCATGGCCTCAGCACCTTTCTGTCTCCTCTGATCTTTACTTTTGACTACAATTCCCAAGTCAGTGAGAAGCCCTAGTATCTTGCCAGGCCCCCTACTCCTCAGCCTAAGGGTCATCTTTGACTTCTTTTATTTTCTTGGGAATTTAGTCCAATTGGAGGGCAACACTAAGGTCATGCTCAAATTAATTGTCATAAATTTAAGGAGTTAAAAAATTTTGGTTTATATTTTTCTCCAGCCATGCTTACTTACATAAGTGTAAGGACTATACAGGAAGAGGATTGGGTTTAACTAGGAATGCAAGGAAAGGGGAAAGAGTATTTCAGGAGAGTTGAAAAAGTATGGAAGCAAGCACTGGACCTTGAACTTGGTGCTGAGTGAATATGGTATTGGTTTGTGGCAGTGAAAAGGTAGCAGAATCAACAGACTAAAGGTCCTGGTGAAGTTGAAAAAGTATTAGAATTGAGATATGTGAAAGAATGAGTTGGACAGATAGGTGGCTAGAGGGTAGAGGGCATGGCAGAAGTTATGGAGGGGTCACGTATATTGATAATGACAGGTGTGACCATGGGACCAATGAAGCAGGTGAGTAGAAAGGAGATCTTGAGAGAATGGAGGGCAGTACCTCAAGCGGCCAGGAAATTGCTAAATATTGAAAACAGATTTTGACCAAGGACCCTTGGGAAGAAGTGACAGAGAAGCGTGACGTAAAGTCTTCAAGGACTCTGAGGATACACATGGAGAGGCCATAAATAACCACAACAAGGAGGGATAGTGGGTGTTGTAGTCTCATTCTGGGGAGTGGTTAGCAAGGAGGCAAGGAGAACTGTCTGGGAGAGACAGGCAAGTAGATGAAGCATTGAGGAGCGCAGTTGCCTTCCTGATAAAAGTGGCATGAGGAGGCATGGGAGAAGCGTCCACCACTTGGGAAGGCTGCTGGGAAAACAGTGTCTAAGTTTTTGTTAAAAGCAAGAAGGAACTGGAGCTGTTCACAGAAGAGTTTGAGGCTACAGGATATTTTGCTAGTGATGGCCAGTGGGCTTCAGAGACTACAGCAGGAAGAGTTTAAACATTGGACAGGGGTGTGAGATGGGACAGATTAGATGCACACATACATTGTGGGAATTAGTTCAGATGTTGGCAGGTGACCCCTGGACTCTTGAGCTTCTTTTGGTAACTGAAGTAAACAGGGATGCAAGGCATAGCGGGATTGATGGTCTTCATGACAGAGTATGGTGGTGTGGCTGCCAGGGGTGGAGGTGGGGCAAATCAGGTTGAACATCTTGCCATGGAGAGGGTCCACATCCATGTACTTGATGTTTTAGGTGGTCTTCAGGCAGGTTTGGGTTACTTTACAACTTTTCTTTTGAACCTAAAAGATGTGTTGACTTGGATGTAGGAAGGAAGCTAATGACCTGTGTGGTTTAAAACCTGTTGACTGTCAGTTGTATCCCTGTGGAATGTTTTGCATGTAGCTTGAGCTTCTATCAGCTAAAAAGCGAGCAGGTTCCATATATTAGTGTTCCAGGTGTGAGTTCATTAGAATAGAAATGAAGTTACCAAGTGGAATTTCTTCTGGGGGAAAGAATTGCATTTCACAGGTATTGTTCATAAAATGGGACAGACTGTGGGAAAATTAGTACAACTCAGCCTGTGCTCGGTGCTCCATAAAGAAAACTGCCTTTTGCCTTTTCCAATCTGTAGGAAAGTTGTAATAATTAAATGAGATATATGAGAAAATATCTAGCATAGTACAGGCTGCATAATGTAAGTCCTTAATAGGCATTATTTACTGTTAAATGACAAGTGGTGGGTTCTCAGCTCCCATTTGGTTCCCTTATTTTTGCCACTAGTATGTTATCTTAACCATTCTGCCTTTCAGCTCATTTCTCTCCCACAGTTCCTCTTTACCTATTTTCTCTTTACTCTCCCTATCCCTGATTGGCAGTGACACTTGTACCTAGTTTAACACTTTTTGTGTCACTTCTCTCCAAGATAGGGAACTCTTGAAATAGGAGGTTTAGGCATTCCTCAGAGCAGGGAAACTGGTGGGGACAGCTTCTTGGCTCCCCCAAATGAGGTCTGTGGCCAAGGTGGCTACAGAGAGCCAGTGGGTTAGTGGTGAGTGACTCTGGAGCTGGGGGCCCTGTGTTACAGGACACGCTTGGCCACTACGTGATGTGGGGCTAGGGCAAAACAGGCTATGAAGTGAGAATCATTTGAACAGGAAGGGGTGGGCTGAATCACCATATGGAGGGACAAGTGAGGACGTGTGCCCGTCCTTTTTCTGCCCCTACTGAAGCTGCTGCTGCCCCTGTTGCCACTGTTCATTTATAAAAATAGTAGCTCTTCCCCAACTAGCAATTCTTATGTGTGTGTCAGGCTTTTGTGGGACAGCAGGCAGGAAGAAGTGGAGCATGGTGAGCCCTCCAGAGCCATGAGGTCTACATCCTCATATTCAACTAACTGTTAAAAATATATACAGAAGATGTATACATGCTTGTTTTACATCATTATCCCCTAAACAACACAATATAAGAACTATTTACACTGTAATATTTATTGTAAGTCATCTAGAAACAAAAGTACACAGGAGGGTATGCAAACACTCAGGCATTTTCTAAGGAAGGTGAGCATTTGTGGATTTTTATATCTGCTGGGGGGTCTTGACCCCAATACCCTGTGGATACTGAGGGAAGACCAGCTGTGCACTGGTTAAAGCCATAAATTCTGGAGCAGGCTGCTTGGATTTGAATCTTGGCTCTGTTACCACATGAGTTCTCTGCCCTTCAGTAAGCTATCTATTCTCTCTGAACCTTGGTTTCTGTTTTTTTTTTTTCTTTTTGATATTTTGAGACAGGGTCTCACTATGTAGCTCAGGCTGGCCTTGAATTCAACGCAGTCCTCCTGCCACAGCCTCCCAATTGCTAGGATTAAAGGTGTGTGCCACCATGCCCAGCTTCACTTCTTTGTTTTTAATTTTTTTTTACTTTCTCATTTCTATAATGAAGATAATTAGGGCAGTATAGTTGTCATGAGAATTAGTTTAAATAGTTTGCAAAATGTTTATAATAGGTGCACAAAACACATTAAGCATTTTTTTTTAATTTAAAAACTGTACAACAATATTATAACAGCATGAATATTTCCATTTTACTGATGCCAAAAATAGGGTGGAAAGGTTATGTGACTTGCCCAAGGCTACAGGGTTATTCAGTAGCAGAGTCAGATCTAAATCAGGGAGAGGCAGTTGGCACCATAGAGTTCAGTTGAAGAATTGGCAGCTGGAACTTGGGAGGTAGGCAGAGGAACTGCCTGAGGATACCATGGGACTATTGCCCACAGACCCTTGCCCAATTCTTTGCCTTTTTTCTGCGTGTCCACAGTGAAATCAGTTAACCCTTTTGTACTTGAAGTTCCTCATCTGCCAAATGAGAGATTGAGTAGACTATGGATGTGAAAACATTTGAAAAGCATAAAGCAGTCACCAAATTTAAAATAGGAGAGCTTCTCACCCCCACTTCACTGAGGGTCAAGTGTGGACCTCTCAGGCCTCCATACCTACCTTGTGATAGTGATGTCCAGTGTCAAATCTCATAACCTATACCTGCATTTTCAGAGATGCTTGGAAGCTCATCTCCTTTTTTTAATTTTTACATTTCCCTCAGAGCATAAAATTATAGTTGAGCAACATCTGGGTCCCTGAGAAATTTTCCTTTGTGTAGATTCTGTTGTTAAGAGTCAGAGCTATGGTTTGTGTCCAGGGTCCACAGTTGTCTCAGTTCCTGTACAGGAACCTCTGCCAATTTTTGGTTTTAGCGTTTGGCACAAGGCAGACTTGACCTCCTCTCATTAGCACACAGTTTTGATTCTCTGCCTTTAGAGAATAGGGAGGCAGCTGACACCTTCCCCTGGGCTTCATTGTGTCCCCGGGATTCCTTCGTAGAAGAGGGGGGCAAGTTAAGAATTGAGTATACTCCATAGGCTAGGCTTCTTCCTAGCTGCTGAGGGTTTTTTTGTAGCTGTTTCCAATTTTTGCCAGCTGCCATACTGAAAAACAAGCTCCTCGTGCCAGGTGATAACATTGGTGATCCTGAGATTACATTTTAAGGGAGATTGGAAACAGAGTTGAGGGAGTAAGGGTATTGGGTATCAGGAGGGTGGTGAAGATCTTTTTGGCAAGCTATGCCAGAATTGGTTCAGCTTGCTTGGTCTTCACTCACAAATAAGGGCATACTGTGGTCTGACACCCAGGTATCTAATGAGAAAACTCATTGTTCTTGGATCTAGATCCAACCAGACTGAGCAATCAGTTATTTTCACTGGAAGCTGGGAATAATAAATTCTCCTTTGTATGTTCTTCATGACCCATAGGAAGTAAACTTTTGAAATCGTCTCTGATTTTTCAGCAGCAGTAAGTGATATAAGATTATGCCTCTTCCAGTATATTCTGCAGAATATTGTATTTTTTAAAATCACTTGCTAAATAAAATCTAGAGAAACAGTGTTAAATAGGCTTCTCTACAGAGACCACTCAAGTCCTTCATATACCACTAGTATGTGTGATGAACCTCCAAATCAATATATTTTGTGTAAACGTTTTTAAGTTTTTAAACTTTTTAGTGGAGTATTTTTTTAATTGCTGCCTTTGCAAAATACACCTTGGAACATATTGATCTACATCAGAAGTTTATTCATTTCATTCTTTGTTCTCATATTGTGAAGGGAGGTGAATTACTGAAATTCTTAGGGTTACTAAAATACGGGTTATGAAGAACAGGAGTGTCCTGGTTCACAGACTATCGCAGTGAGTCTTCCTGTACTGAAACACCTCTCTCCATCTTGTCCTCACAGCTCCCCTTTGAATTGGAGATCTACTACATTCAGCATGTCATGCTCTACGTGGTTCCCATCTACCTGCTTTGGAAAGGAGGTAAGGCTAGCAAACTACATCCCTGTGCCACCCACACATACCTCTTCCTCTATTTTGGGTGGTTATGATCTCTTGGGTACCTACCAGGATCTTGCACTGCTGCTTAGCTGGGTCTTTTCAGCATGCTTGAGGTCAGATGCCAGCCACTGAGGAAATGAGCATGGATGAGGCCTACAGAGAGACTGGGGTTTTTCAGATCCATCCTTTGTGGGTGAGCATGGCACCAATGCCTACATATCATAGGGCCTAGCCTTTGGGCTCTTGGTAGCAGCTTGCGTTTGCATGGTACCTCCCATGCTCTGTCTGCTGTTATGACACCTGCTCCTTCTCAGAGTTCTTCCATTCCTGGAAGGCCCCATAAATGGAAGACATTCTCTTTCATTCTTAGCTACCAGCCTCTTTTGTCTTGGTTGCTGAGACTTTTCTGGAAGATGAACCCCTCGCTACCTTACCTTAGCAGTGATTTCATTCCCACCATACTAAAATGGCAGGAGGTCACTTGGACCTTTGAACTCACTGGAATGTAGTAGTCTGGAGTTTTACTGGGCTCTGCTGCTTCTTGGTAGTAGACATTTGCTCCCTTTACCCTTTTATAGTCAGTCAGGTCTCTTTTCCATCAATTTGTATAAGGATTCTTTGAGGCTGCTTTTTTTTTTTTTTTTTTTTTTTTT